TGCCACGCCTCGCGTGGTTTATGACCCTGCTAATGAAAACAGACCCTGGTGATGGAAACAAACCGCCAAGGACTCTGCTAGCGAAGCCCACTACCGAGGGCAAGGGCCTCGCAAGAGAAAGTGGCAGCAGCTGCTGGAGGCAGAGGAGGGGGATAAATGCCAGGGGCTGAGGAGCCACGCTGGGGCACCCCGCTGGCAGCCGGGAGCTGGCAGTGCCCAGGACCACGTCCCTCACTTACCATGACAGCGACCCCGGAAAACATGACGGCGGAAACCAGCTGCCAGACCCTGCGTGCAAGGGAAGACAGAGGACATGGCGTGAGCACGGGGGTGATCCCACCGCTCATCCTTCGCAAAGTGTTCCTGGCTGCCTGCTCAGTCATCAGCCTTCATCCTCCCTCCTTGTACGCCCAAGGCGGCCACAAGCCTCCTGTGGGAGGACTCTGCTCCCCACACCCCGCTAGCTCCAGCCTCAGCATGCAGACCGGCCTCGCTGGCGAGAGATGTGAAATCCCCCCCCCACCCAAGCAGAGGAGGGAAGTGACCCTGCCAAGAGCGGGGTCCCCACAGTCACACAAGAGACCAGGAGCTCCTCCAGCTCCACGCAGCCCCTATGGTCCCCTGCATCTGCTGTGGGACAAGAGCTTGAGGGTCTCAGGCTGATTTCTGGGGGAAGAAAGCAAACCTGGTCTGGTTCTGTGGCCCCCAAGAAGCCCCTGTGGCGAGCAGTGAAGCTGGCGCCGCAGCAGTGCTGGTGTCAGAAGCCAGAGCTGTCAGGGACGCTGTGGCCGAAGGCCCTCAGGTGACCCAGCTCCAAGGTGGCCCAGTATCTTACCTGAGCCCCAGTGGTTCCCGGACAGCAAACTTGATTTCATTTCCCAGTACCTGGCTAATCTGAAATTCAAATAGAAGGCATAAGGTGACTGAGCAGACCCTTTCCCAACCTTCAGGCAGTATTCGCATACCTAACCTCATGTGGGAGTTTCTCTCCGAGAAGGCTGGAAGGAGGACAAGAGATTCATCTGTCACGCCTTGGTCCCAAGATTTAATTTCCACCAGGAGCTGCAGCCTTTACTGCTCCCTTATGGCATCAGCCACGTGCAGCGTGGGGCTGGGGCAGGGTCAACATTAACTCTTGTCTCCTCCTACCTAGGTGAGCAGCAAACTGCCTGCTCCCACACCCCGCCTGTGTGTCACAGAGCAGCAAGCTACCGGCCCCCACGCCCCGCCGGTGTGTCACAGCCCGAGGGGGCACAGCCCCAGCAGAGCCCCCGGGGTGTCACAGCCCGAGGGGGCACAGCCCCAGCAGAGCCCCCGGGGTGTCACAGCGCCCATCCCGCTCTCATGTTCACACCACCCAGAGCGATGCCAGTCCATGACTTCCCCACACCAGGCCAGTGGGAAGGCTACACAGAGCAGCAACAGGGAAAGGAACTGGGGGACCTCTCAGCTGCAGAAAGCTCTGAGAGCTCTGTGCTGCTCCCCACATGCAGGCAGGAGCCGGGCAATGCCCTGCCAGCAAGTTCTCCAGAGAGCATCCAGGACAGGGCTCCTGCAGGGCTCATCCTTGTCTTCCGGCTCCGGTATTTCACCGAAACACGTTGTTCGTCCGCAATTCAGGCAGCACCGCTGCTTAAATCGCTGGTCCAGTGCCCAGGCCACTGGCTGGTGGTGCCACGCTCCTGTGGCACCAGCTCCAAGCTAGCGCACGGGTGTCTCAGCAATACAATTTCAGGAATGGATCAAAGCAGCTTGAGGGCAGACCTCAACCCACTACCAAGAAAAGCTGTTTCGGGCAGCTCCCATGCACCCAGAAGGCTGCATGACCCGTCGCTGCTCGAAGGCAGCATTGCTTGTGCCACCACAGCCTTCACCCCTTGCTTTACAGGAGCCCTGCTTTTGCCAAAGAGGCTGTAGAAGTTAGATGCTAAAAAAAACCCCACACCAAGTCAGTTTGCACAGGCAGAACGTCTCTTTTCCTCGTTACTGCTCAAGTGCTTCCCTCTCCCCACCCTCACCTTTGAGCGATGGACCTCGCCGTCGTCGTCCTCCCCGCCGACCCCCAGGATCTTGCGCGTCTTCAGCCTGCTCACCAGGTCGGTCTGGCTGTGCTTCTTCATCAGTGGCGGGGGCTGCTTCGCCGCCATGGTGGCCCTCTGCCCCCCAGCCCTCGGCTGCCAGGCAGCGCGGGAAGCGGCTCCGCCCTCACATGAAATTTCGTGAGGTTCGGTGCCCCCCGGCCGTCGGCTGCCAGGCAGCGCGGGAAGCGGCTCCGCCCTCACATGAAATTTCGTGAGGTTCGGGAAAAAAAAAAAAAGAAAAACCAACCACCACCACAAAATCTTCTTGTTAGGCCGGCAGACAGCTCCTCATCGTCCCGGGGCAGGGAGCCCTGGCAGTGGGGCTGGCCCTGGCTACGGGCAGCTCATCTCAGGGTGATCCTCCCGTCACCAGGATCTGCTGAGGGGAAAAGGAAAACAGAGCAGTGTGGCTTCAGCATAGGCGCTTAGCTGTGAGTGCTTTCGAGCTGCCAACTGTAATCTGGCCTATCCCAGCACAAGGTGATATCCAACAGTAGCTCTTTGCTGCTTCCCGGATTACAGAATTAAATGCTTCCCAGACCAGGGGAACTGAAGTCATTCAGCGATGCTTTACCTTCTGTCTCTCCCCATGCCATACATCACACCCTTCAGATGCCATTTCAGGCCAAATACCACACACATCTCAGGTTTTTATTTGTGTGTCCCCCAGATGCTGCCGCCCCCACGTTGTGCCAAAACACACCAGCCCATCAACAACAAGAAGCCAGAGGCAAGAATTTCCTTGAGGATACGTTGTTTTCTGGGAAACGGAAGACGATGGCAACCAGAAACTACAAATACTCTCTGGCATAAGAACAAGACAAAGACAACTGACAGAAGCTACAGTGGAAGGGAAAACTTCTGCCTTGGCACGGTGGTGTAAAGGTAGAGGTGCCAAGAGTCCCACGGAATCACTCCATATCATCCTGCAATCACAAAACCCTCAGTTCGGGAAGTCTTTTCTTCCAATTTGTCTTCATTTCATCTTGGCTCAGCTGAACACAAAACACGTTTTTCCGTCTGCCACTTCACCCTCCCAGAGACCCATGGGTGAATGCCCCCGAGACACCAGGCACAGGCAACCCAGCCCAGGCGAGCACAGGGCTCGAGCACCGGCAGCCCCGTGCCCTAGCCGAGCCCTCCCACGGCTGCCCCGGCAGGAGAAAATTTATGCTTGTGTCTAAAGAGCTCACGAGTCTCCAGGGAGTAATGAAACCAGGTGCCGGTTATTTTGGCACCGTGCACGCAAGGATTTCCCTCTCGCAGGAAAACCCTTCGCTGTGGTTGTCCAGACACGGTCATGTCTGCAAGTGCCCCGCACAGCTCTGCAGAGCTAAGGAGTCTCGCTGGGACAGCGCAAAGACCGAATCCCATCATCAAGGGTTTAAGGAGACCCTTTCAGCAGGCCACAGGCAGAAGCGCTTTTCAGTGAGCCAGGTCAGCTACTCAGGGCTTTGCTGCTGCTTCTTTCGGATCGTAGGGGGGTGGGTTTGGTCGCGGTTTTTTGCTCTCATTCCACAGAACAACCAAGCCCAGGTTGCCGGAAAGGCAGCACAGAGCCAGATGCAGCAGCCAGGATCTAGAAATATTTCAGAAGTGGGGCAACGGAAAACACCCACTCAGGAGGAAGGTGGAAGCTGTATACTCGTGCGTACACTTCAGCACAAGGCAAGAAGCTCAAAATGTAGCTGCTGGCAGAAACGTTTGGATGATTTACCATGTCTGGCATTTGCTGACCCAAATTATCACAGTAACTTGTGGGTACGCAAATCTAGATAATCTGCACACAAAATCCACCCCTAAGCCAGAGTGATGTGTCAAAAAGAAAAGCTTTTTAATTTCTTTTACTACAGCTTCTGTAGTCCCTTCTGCTCCTGGCAGACCCAGGCTCACAAGGTTGGGTGCCGAGTGGTTTCCCACCAGAACTGCACTGCTGCTGGCACCAGAGCAGACCTGTTGCTGTGGTCTCTCTAGTCCAGCACTTTCTGATTGCAGCTACTCAGCGCAATCCTGAAGTAACACCCCTCTGCTGAATGCTCCTCTCTCTCACTGAGCCTCAGGACAGCTCTGAGGCCACCACACATCCCTCGCCTGGCCCAACACAGCTCCTGGAACGTGGGGAGGACAGCCCCAAGCGAAGGGCTGACGCACGGTGCCCGAGGCATGCCACACTGTCAGGAGCACCCTCGCACCACCATAAAGTTGCTGGGTACCTATGTGGCCACTCTCCCTCCGCTGCACGCTTTGGTGGGGAGCGGAGCAAAGTCCTTGCATGAAGACTTGCTAGCCGAGGGGAGAGTCTGGCAGAGGGCCTGAGCAGCAGCATCCTACCGGCCCCGGGTCACCAAAGCCCTCCCCAGGGAGGAGAGACCTGAGGCTTGCTGGTCATGATAGGACTTGGGGTGCCGAGCGTGCTGGCCACACCAGTTTGGCACTTCTGCAGCCCTCTTGGTTTCTTGCCACGGACAGCCTGCTGCCCACACCTTCTGCTTTGCTCTCTTCATGGCCAGAAATGGCAGAGGATGGGAAGACGGGGGGAAAAAGGGAGAAAAGAAAAGTAAAGAAGGAAAAATAACCCCAGACATCTTCACATCTAGGGAATCTCCTGCAGGCAAGAAACAAAGCAAAGTGATGGGGGCTGAACTGGGTCTCCATGACTCACCGATGAAGACCGAGATGAACAGTTCTGTGATTACAGAGGCAGTTTTGCAACTCTGACCACAGGCCAAAAGATCAAAATTTGCCTCCATCAGTTGTCTCACCAGTTGCTTTCAGGGCAGGATTTGGTGGAAATTTATCCACATCATCATTAGCACTGCTCTCCCATTAAGAATTTCCACTAATTTGTGGTAAACCACTGGCCAAGAGCTGGGACAACACAGGCCAGATACAAGTGCCAGTAAAACAATCACCGAAGGCCATTCCGTTACATAAAACCACACTCCCACCACATTAAGCACAGCCATGGCACAGCCCCGCAGCCAGTCCCACATCTCATTATCCCCGTCTTCCAGAGAGCGAGCCAGTCTAACAAATACTGAATATTAATGAATAATGAGCTAACAAGTGCATTAGTGCTAATTCAATGACATTCAGATAGAAGATGCTGAGGATTTTTAAAATGTTTTACTTACATTAATGTATCCTGACACACTGACAGTTTAGAGGATGTTTCCTATTAGACTGTGCGTTTTCAAAGGGGAACTGCCACCTCCCCCTTCTCCTGCGATTCTTTTCTCCTTAATCTGTTTTCTGAGCATCCCAGGGGCTGCGCAGATCAATCACCATAAACACGCAACTCCTACTCCCCAACACGGCTCTCGGTGATGGGCAGCATCTATGTGCAGTTGAAAGAGGCATTTTTTTTTCCTCCAGAATCCTTTTTCTTTGCAGGCTTCTTTCAGTATCTCTTCCCTTGCTCAGCTATTCAGCGTACTGCACGCAATTTTGATAGCTACTGCTTCATGGTGCAAAGAAACCTCACTGGTGCCACGCTAATGACAGCTCAGTCTCTCCCCACCTCCACAGCATCTCCCCCAGCATCTCCGCTTCCCTCCCAGCATCTGGAGAGAAGAGGAGCTCTGCGGCACAGGAGAGGTGAGACTCCACCACACGCGTGACGATGCTGCAGCAGCCAGAGCTGCACCCATCCAGGGAGGTGCACGGGGCTGCGAGAGGGGAACCAGACCCCGTTCCTGCTGGCACCTGAAGTTGACAGCCTACAGCTTCAGGAAGCCACTGCCAAGCAGCTGCTGGGTGCTATCATGCCCGCCTGCAAGGACACAGTTCCCCAGGGCGCTGGGGACAGGGCTGCTGCCTATTGCTGCGCTGGACATTGTTTCAGTGGCACTGCCATCCACGGTGCAGCCTTTTACCCAGCAAAGCTGCTTGAGTTAGAGAGGTGGCACTACAGTACGTCTCACTCCAAGGGTTTGAGGGCACTTCCAGTCTGCAAGCAGAGGAAGAGAAAACAAACCAGAGTCAAGCCAGGATAATGAGTGACAGGTTTATATGTCTAAGTTGGCCAAAATTTCTTCAGCTCTATCATGTCCAGGCCAGGTAGAGGGCTCTTGCTACCCTGTCAAGCTCTGGTTTTAGATCTCCCAAGCCAATACGCCCAAGACAACATCTTGAGCCCACTTTCGTTTCCTATGCCAAAGAGTCAGCCAAAGGTGCAGTGGATGTATGTCCTTTCTAACAGCCCAGTGGGGCACTCACCATTGCTTAAGCATCTTTCACAGACCACAGGTCGAGAATCACTAGTAAACATGAAGTGGCAGCACTGTCCCTTTACAATGTTGGGGTTGCCCCAGGAGGGGAGGTCTCCAGCACTGCAGCAGCACAGCGGGGTCCGCACACGAGAGGGGGGCCCAGCAGGACAGTTGCACTGTACCTGGCTCTCACAGCCGTGCTGGAGCCCACAGCATTCCTCTCGCAAGGCCCTGGCAGCCATAATGCACTTGTGCAGCTCTCCTGCTGTTTCTCCAGGCTCTGGTGGTCCCATCTCCTTGCCAGTAAGCACAGTACCAGGTCCACAGCAGCTGCTCTGGATCCCATACTTACCCAGCCACACAGACAGCAAGAAAGCCTGGACTCAAACACATGGGCAGGGCAAAGAAGAGAGGTGGTAGATGCACAGGTCTAAGCAGTCATACAAGAGCAAGATCAGCCAGAAAGGGAAGAGATAACCTTCCACATAAAACTTTCAACCAGCCAGCCACCTCTTCCCTCTTCTTGTCCGCAAGGCTCATTAGCAAAGTATCTCAATGCCCCACAGTCTCACCCTACTACAGCCATGCACCTTCGGGACAGATAATATCCCCACTTTGGAAACACTAGAAGATTAAGGACAGGATCCACAAACGTACTAAGTACCTTAGCTCTTGCAAACATTAGGCTGTTGCCTGATCAAGTGGGATCTAAGAATCCTTTTCCCTCCCACGAATGAAGGGTCAGTCTGTTCACTTTTACATTCATAAAATGTCTTGGTAAACAACCTCAGACACTTCAGGACTCTTGAAATCCCAAGGGATGAGGCAAATCCTCTGTGTCTAACCCAAAAACAC